TTTGTGCATCCCCTGACCCCATGTCTCAGGGAGACTCACAGGAATAAACTGGGAGGTCAGCCCCCCACCCCCAGCGCCCCCGCTCCTTCTCGCTCCTGCTCTCATGGTGTGACATTAGTGCAGTCCCTAGACCCGTGACACTGGGAAGCAGCAGAACGGTGTCCATCTGCTCAGCGCTCAAGGGGCGGGGCAGGGCAGGGCCGGGCCACCCGAGTCCCCAGCCCACCCTGCGTCCTTCCCAGGGCTGGCCATCCTGCGGAGCCCCGAGCCGCTGGCCCTGGGCCGCTGGCACCGCGTGTTTGCCGAGCGCCTCAACAAGGACGGGAAGCTGCAGGTGAACGGGGGCCGCCCCGTGCTGCGCTCCTCCCCGGGCAAGAGCCAGGGCCTCAACCTGCACACCCTCCTCTACCTCGGCGGAGTGGAGCCCTCCGTGCCGCTGCCCCCGGCCACCAACGTCAGCGCTCACTTCCGGGGCTGCGTGGGCGAGGTGAGGACCGGCCGGAGGACAGGCAGGAGGGAGGGTGCTGACTGGGCCCCTCTGCCTGCACCAGCTGGGGGTCCTGGGCGTCAGCCCCCCACCCTGAGGGGGACAGCGCCAGGCCTCAACCTGCACACCCTCCTCTGCCTCGGCGGTGAGGGCGGGACAGTGGGAAATGCCTCGGTGTCCTCCTCTCTGAAAGGGGCCACCTGCACCTGCTTGGAGGGGCTGTCTTGAGGGCTGACTGCGCAGGGGTCCGGCACACCCAGGGATGTGTGCCCCTCACTCCCCCAGAATCGCAGCTACTTCCAGCTTGGGCTCCCAGCTACTCCGCTGCCTCCCTCTGTCGGCCGCTGCCGCCTGCAGCCCTGTGTCCCTGTGCTCACAGGTGTCAGTGAATGGGAAGCGGCTGGACCTCACCTACAGCTTCCTGGGCAGCCGGGGCATCGGGCAGTGCTATGACAGCTCCCCGTGCGAGCGCCAGCCCTGCCAGCACGGCGCCACGTGCATGCCTGCCGGCGAGTACGAGTTCCAGTGCCTGTGCCGAGACGGCTACAAAGGTGTGTGCCAGCCTGGTCCTGGGGGCGGGTGGGACAGGGGTCAGCTCCCCTCCAGCGGCCCCCTCACTCGGCGCTGGCCCACAGGCGACCTCTGTGAGCACGAAGAGAACCCCTGCCGACTGCGGGAACCTTGCCTGCACGGGGGCACCTGCCAGGGCACCCGCTGCCTCTGTCCGCCCGGCTTCTCTGGCCTACGCTGCCAACAAGGTAAGCCCCTCACTTCTCTTCACCTCCCTCTTGGGACCCTGCACACAGTACCCTCGGGTACCTGTGCCCGGCAACTGAACCCTGTCTACCCCGTAGGCCCTGGCCACGGCCCGGAGTCCGAGTGGCATCTCGAAGGCAGCGGGGGCAATGGTACGTACTTGCTGTGGCAGCCAGAGAGGCCACAGGGCTTCTCTCCCTGGCTTGGGCTTTCCACCCTCCTCCCACCTGCCAGCCAGCGGCGCGAGTGAGGAGTTCCCTGGGTGCAAAGTTGGGTCCTGCCGGTCCAGACTGGCTTGGCCACCTTGGGCTGCCGCTTGACCTACTCTGGCCTGTCTCCGCCTGTGTGCTGTCCATCAGCAGGCATCTGTGTGCCCACCCTGGCCCCAACAGCAGTGAGGCTGTGGGATCCGTGAGGTCTGCCTTATTTACCCTACGTTTATACTGATACTGTATGACTTTCGATATCACTCAGCCTCTCTGTTCCCTGCTTTTCTCCTGTATAAAATAGAAATCACCTCCTTTCACAATGTTTTAGATAAAATGTTATGTGACAGCAAAATCTATTTAGTATATTTAAATGCTTAGAACAATAGAGATTGGGTGTAGAATGGTAGCGTTTGTTAACCGTGTGTCTAAGTCACGGGATTATGACAAGGATTCTGTTAAATGAAAGGGTGTTTGTACCCTGCACAGTGACTAGCACACAGTAGGTGCTTGGGAAGTGTTAGCTGTGACCCCCGCCCCTGCAGCTACCAGGCCCACAGTGGCTAGAGCTGGCCTTAGGTGGATAAGAGCAGCGGGGACACACAGTGGCGATAAAGGCCCAGGTAGCCACCCAGGCGCCCAACTTTCTGGGCAAGGCTTCACCCCTTGAGCCTATTTTCCCATCTCGATGATGGAGGAATCACGAGGGTTCTGGACCTTTTATATGCATAGGCCTAGATGACCAACTCTGCTAGTGTGCGCAGAACTAATGGTTTTCTCCAGAAGTGGGACTTTCAGAGCTAAATCCAGAGTAGAACTTGGTAAATGGGGGCTCCCCTGCCTGGGCCCTATTGACTTCATAAAGTAAAACAGATAGGATTTCCAAGGGAGCCAATTATACGTAAGTATAAATAATGATACATCATTAATACAAATAAATCAATACATGATTATATTTCAATAAGGTCATCAAAATACTAAAATGTTTCTGATTTGCAATAGGTGCATCTTTTTTATCACATTAAATAACAAGACTGACGGGGGCCCAACAGCTACCAATTAGTGTCAATAAGCATACACATTGTTTTAAAATATTTGCACGTGCTAACATGATAAAGTATCACCTGCTAGCATCAAAGCCACAGGCTCACTGCTGCCCCGGTGGTTCACTGCCTCTGAGCATCACTGGGAACAGTTTGATTTCAGTGAGAAGTCAGGGGAAATAGAGTTATGCTGTTTTTCCATCCAAGTTCACGGCCCTCTGGGTGTCCAGGGACTGCAGGTCAGACCCCCCCTTGGAAGTACACATCAGGCCAGAAGTGGGGGTCAGGGGAGCCAAGGTGTGATGGATGCTTGATCCAGGTGAGTGGGTCTCATCAGCCCCCTGTTCTGCAGACGCCCCCGGACAGTATGGAGCCTATTTCTATGACGACGGCTTCCTAGCCCTCCCCAGCAGCGCCTTTTCCAGGAGGTGAGAAAGGCCTGTGGGCCCCAGGGGAGGAGAGAGGCAGGGCAGGGAGCAGAAACCTGGGACTTGCACTTGCTCACATGCTGCCCCCCCACAGCCTGCCCGAGGTGCCCGAGACCATCGAGCTGGAGGTTCGGAGCAACACCGCCAGTGGCCTCCTGCTCTGGCAGGGCGTGGTGAGTGTGGACATCCGGTCCAGTATCTCAGGCTTCCAACCTCCTGATGTCCAGGGCAGTGGGAGAGAAGGCTGTGCCCACAGCCCCCAGGGTCTTCAGCTCTCCAGGCTGAGCACCCCAAAAACCCCATGCTTCCCTGGCAGGAGGTGGGAGAGGTTGGTCGAGGCCAGGACTTCATCAGTCTCGGGCTTCAGGACGGGCATCTTGTCTTCAGGTGGGTCCTGGCACCAGACCCTTCCTCCCCCCCGCCTCAGCCTCCTTTGCTCAGTCCCCGGGCTCCTCCATGGGAAGCTGCAGTGCCCAGTGTCCCAGTCACACACCACCCACATTCCCACACACACTGCAGCCTTCCCGCCCCCACTCCAGTCCTGCCCCAGCTCACACTTTCTGGGCCTGTGTGACTGCAGCTACCAGCTGGGCAGTGGGGAGGCGCATCTTGTCTCTGAGGACCCCATCAATGACGGCGAGTGGCATCGGGTGATAGCGCTGCGGTAAGGGAACCCACCGGGCACTAGGGCGAGGGGGACGGGACGCCCCGCACTGTGCAGGGAGGCAGGCGTGAGCTCTGGGGCGTCCGAGCTAGAAGCCAGGGCTGGGGAGAGCCGCCAGCCAGAGCACGGGCCTCCGGGGCGGCAGAGAGCTCGTGGGGCAGGCAAGTGAGCACCCAGGGGGTGGAGGAAACCCGGGAGGGGGCCCTGAAGCGGCATTTGTGGGGCCAGCTCTCCAGTGGGGGCAGCAGAGATCTCAGGGCTCAGTGGGGCCAACTTCTCTGGAGTCTCGGTGGAGGAGGGAGACCACCTGGGATCGGGAGGGCAGGGAACAAGTCCGACAGAGCTGACCCGGTTCCACCGCAGCAAGGGCCGGAGAGGCTCCATCCAGGTGGACGGTGAGGAGCTGGTGACCGGCCAGTCCCCAGGCCCCAACGTGGCGGTCAACACCAAGGGCAGTATCTACATCGGTGAGTTCCGGGCTCAGGCCTCCTGCGGGACCAGGCCCCTCCCCGGGCCGGTGGGCGACGGGGCTCCCGCAGCCCTGGAGCATAGGGCCCATCGCCTCGCCCTGGACCCCGGGGCTGACGGCCCGTCCTCTCCCTCCCCACAGGCGGAGCCCCCAACGTGGCCTCACTGACCGGGGGCAGGTTCACCACCGGCATCACAGGCTGTATCAAGAACCTGGTGCTGCATTGTGCCCGGCCCGGCGCCCCGCCCCCACAGCCACTGGACCTGCAGCACAGTGCCCGCGAGGGTGCCAACACACGCCCCTGCCCCTCGTAGGCACCGCCTGCCCCACCGGACTCCTGGGCAGTGCCCCAGCCCCACAGTGTCGAGTATATTATTATTAATATTATTATGATGAATATTTTGTAAGAAACTGAGGCAATGCCACGCTTTGCTGCTACTGCCCTGGGCTGGACTGAAGGGTGCGCAGGTCACCCCCACTCACACCTGGGCAAAGTCCCAGGCCGGTGGGCAGGGCAGTTGGATGGAAGCGATCGCCTCAGAGGGCCGCCCGGACGTGGGCTCAGGCTCGGTGGCCGAGTGGGCTCAGGACTGCCCCACCGCCCCTGCATGGAGCCCCCGGGGCAGAGGCGGGCGCCTGCTCTGCAGCCCTTGAACAAACCCTCATTCCCACAAGAGCCACCCTCTGCGTCCCGCCTGGAGCCTGGCTAGCTTCCTGGAGCAGGGCGTGGCATGGCCCCTGCCACCCTCCTCTGGGCTGGGGAAGCTCTTCAGTGCCAGCTGTGAGCAAAAGGCAGCTCCTCCGTGGGCAGGCAGCCCCCTCCCAGCCCGTGTCCCAGCCGCCCCCTCCTGCCAAATCCTCCTGGCTGCATCCTCCCATCCCACCCCCACCCCAGTGCCACCCAGGACCTCTGCCCTCTGGAGCTGCCAGGAAAACCACCCCCACCTTTACCGGGAGCTGCTACAGGCAGAGCCCAGCACGGAGAGGGCCCCGCCCACACACCAGGCCACATCCCCCCACTGATCTGGAAGTGAAGGCCCAGGGGACATGGGGGGGAGGGGTGTCGGTGGTCGAAAGAGTTAGTGCCTTGAGTCGGGGAAGCCAGGACTCATGACTGGAGGAGCTGGAAGGGCCATGACCGCCCTGCCCCATCTGTGGGAGCCCGAGGGCCCAACTGGAGCCAGCGCCGTCCCCGCCAGCAGCCCTCAGACTGTGGGGTCAGGACACCTGGCCTCTTGTGTGCTAGAAGGGACCCTCCTGTGGTCTTTGTCTTGATCTTTCTTAATAAACGGTGCTATCCCCGCCAGGCCGTCTCCTGGGTCTGGGACTTGATTGGGCGGGACCTGAGCGTGGACTGGGATGGGGCGAAACAGCTGGTTGGGTCTGGCGTCAGCAAGGGCCCACTCCCTGCGTTCGGCCCATCGAGCAGAGCGCCAGCCTGCATGCCAGCTGCAGAAAGGTCCTCAACCTCCTGCCACCATCGCAACAACCTGGGAGGAGAGAACCACCTCGTCCGGGAGAGCAGCCGGGCTCAGGCCCCAAAGCCGACAGCCTGGGTGGAGTGTGGTGGGCTCTGTCTAGACCCAGAGGCCACCCTCTTCCTCTGATGGCTGTAGCCTCTCTAGAGGTGGCCTTCCTGGCCCTGCGGGGCTGGCCCACGCGGCTGCAGCCCTCCGGGAGCCACCTGACCCGGACTCAGGTAACAGATGGTACAGCTGAGCCCGAGCCCACGGGCACGGCCCCCGCAGGCCAGCCGGCTGGAGCAGCAGCAGCAGCACAGGAGGCCCACGAGGAGGCCGGCAGAGGCCAGGAGCAGCAAGGCGGCCAGCGCCACCCCATGAAGTCGGGGACCTGTAAGGAAAGGGGAGTCCACCAGGCTCGAGTCCCTGCCCCCTTCCTCTGCAGAGGGACCTCGTGATCTGGGTGTGACTTGGGGAGTGAGTGCCACCTACCTGCCCGAGCTGTGGCTTGCTGGGCGTCCGGGTCTGCGACGGTGCTGCCGGCTGTAGCACAGATGGTGCCTGCAGACCTGAGAGCTGCAGGGAGAGTCGGCAGCGTGGGGGCTTGGCCGCCTGTACTCCCCGCCGGGCTGGGCACCAGAGAGGGGCCTGCGGCGGGGACAAGAGCCCACACCTGACGCCGCCATCTCATCTGCCGAGGCCCTGCTCGGCCCTCTCCAAGCCCCTCTGGATACCAGTGTTTCCATTTTACAGAAAGGTTAAGTCACTTGCCCAGGTCCTGGAACTGGACGTGGGGGGCCCCCTCCCTACCCCATACACGGGCCTGTGTCAGGCCTAGGTCTGTGGAGGGAGCCACATCTCAAGAAGGAGAATGCTCACGGAGTGAGCACTTCCCGGAGCCCCGGGCACCACGCTCAGGCCAGCCCGCTAACAGCAGTTCACTTAAAGTGTATGACGACTCTGAAAGCTTGGGCCTATCATCCACCTTACAGACAAGGAAACGGGCATGGCGAGGTCCGTTCATTTTAAGTGGACAGTCAGCAGCTTAACCGATACTCATTGTACGGTCATCATTGATAATGATGATCATCGATCATTATCTTCATCTTGCAAACCTAAAACTCACCCATTAAACCACTCCCATCGCTCCTCTACACAGCCCCTGGCAACGTCCTTCTTTCTGTCTCTGTTCTAAGTACCTGGGAAAAGTGAGGTCAACAGACTTCGGCCTTTTGGTGACCCTTATTTCACCGAGCCAATGGCCTCAAGGTCCTATGTAGTCAAGCATGTCAGAACCCCCTACATTTTTAGGACCAAAGAATATCCCATTGTATGTACAGGCGCATGGTGCTTGTTCATCTGTTGGTGACACAGGACTCCTTTTTTCTAAAAGATTTATTTATGCATACAAGAACTGAGGTACAGGCCAGAGGGGTGGGGGTTGGGGGTGGTGAGAGCATTCACCAAAGTCAGAGCAGGGAGCAGAACAGGGAGATGTAATGAAAGGCACTGCTGAGGGGAGCAGCAGGTGGGGCAGGAGAGGTCTGTTGCGCCCTGTGGCCCAGCTCCCTGGCTGGGGATGGAACTCATGCTGCAGTGGCTGCAGATAGCTTCACAGTGCTGTGCTTTTATTACAGGGCAAGGAGAGAGGGGCACCACTGAACCCCCAAACCTGCCTGCTCTAAATAGGTTCTGCCATCCGCCGCATCAAGATAAAACATGTAAGACTTTTAATGAAAAGGAACTTTAATACAGTGAGTACACAATCCAGAAGACAAAGAATATAATTTCTTGATCAAACAGCTGAAGTTACCCATCCCCTCACGGGCAAAAGTCCACCCAAAAGGGACTGGCCCAAAGCAAGACCTGAAAGCCCGCCACGATTCTAAAGCACCTTCTGGTGGGGACCCATAGAAAAGGGTCAGAAATGGCCAGACAAGTCTGGGAGGAGAAGAGCAAAATCAAAATCACTGTAAACGCTGCCGTAGTGAATCTCCCCAAGGTCTCTCACCCACATCTGTTTCAACCAGTGCTGGACAAAGATGCAAACACAGTTTCTTCACATGTGTCTGCTCCGTGTGGCTTCCGCAGGTCTCCTGCCTCTCCATCCTGCTTCTTTCTTCTCTTCAGATTCATTCTCTTCCCATCTTTTCTCTGCTCAGCTCCACCCTCCTGGGTGGGACAGGGAACCTGGAACTTCCCCTTTCCCTAGGGACCCCCCTGTTACATTTTAACCTGTTGTGCCACGGGGGAGGGCCTGGGACTCCCAATTTTCAGTGAGCACTCTGGTGAATGTTGAGCAGAAACCTGAGGGGACAAAGGCAACAGCATGGAGACGTCTCACAGCCTTCCAGGCGGAGGCCAGAGCAGCACAAGCCTGGAGCAGGGGGAATCAAGGAGCGGAGGAGTGAGCAGGCTCGGAGGTAACGGGGGCGTGACTCAGAGCCGGCAGCCTGCAGGCTGAGTGAACAAGTCATCTGGAGGGTTCTGAGCAGGAGTGACAATCTGACTTAGAGTCTAACAGCCTCCCTGCTCCACTGTAAATGTGGGCTGCCTGGTGACTTCCTCCTAAAGGCAACAGTTGGAAAGAAGGCAGAAAGGGTACCAGTGAAGAAACCCCACAAGCGTGATCTCAACCTCCGAGGCCACGACTGTCAACAGTCACGGATCCTGCTCGCTGTGACCACCTTGGTCAGGTGGGATGGGACGACGCTTGGCCTCCTTGGTCTTCTTCCTGATGACCCACAGCCCTGGCCTTGGGAGAAAACACCAGGGAAATACTGGGGATGCGGTGACTCAACCGCTTGGAAGAAGGGGAAGCTGGTGACGAGCAGCTGGGGGCTGGGGCCGGGGCTCAGGAGTTCAGCGGGGGCGAGCCAGGTGGGAGAGGCTGCCTGCCTGCACACCCGAGATGTCAGGGAGGGAGGCAGTTGTGTAACGAGTTCAAAGACAGCCCAGCTGGCAATGGAAAGGACACCACTGAGCACGTGGGCAGGAGGGGGCGGACGAGGACGGAGGAGCCGTGAGCACAGCAGAAAGGGTGTCAGGGAGACCACAGAGTCCGTGCTGCAGTGTGGGACCCTCGGAGCTGCATTCACCACTCAGCTAGGTGCTTTTTTTTGCCTTCCCTGGTTCATCCGTAGGTAGCAGCCCTGGTTAGGGGACAGGCATTGCCACGTCTCCAGGAAGGATCTTCTGGGTGACCGATGCTGGTCCCCCCACTCATAACAGAGGTGGCTCATGGTTTGGCCTCTCATAGTCTAGGGCCTGGAGCTACTCATTTCTCCTCCCGAGACCTCAGTTTCCCCATCTATAAAATGCGATTAGTGGAGAGTCAAATTCAGGTTTCTGGGTCTCCCCAGAAGACACAGCACTGTGAAGCTGTCCGCAGCCACTGCAGCATGAGGTCCCCAGACGTGGAGCTGACCCACATGGCGCAGCAGACCTCTCCTGACCCACCTGCTGCTCCCCTCAGCGGTGTTCTGCTCCCCACTCTGTCTCTGGCGAATCCTCTCATCCCCATGCCCTCCCCCCACATCTCCAGCCTACACCCCAGCTCTTGTATGCATAAATAAATAATTTTTTTTTAAAATTGAGGTTCCTTGGTGGAGCATCAGTCAGTATCCCCCAAGTTTACGTAAATAAAACACCTCTCCTTTTATTGTCCTGGGCCTCGGTGCAAAGTTCCACTTAGGAAAAGGCTCCACCACTGAAGTGATGTTTGGAAGCGGCTGGACTAGATGTCTCTAGCATCGTTCCTGCTGAGTCGCTCTGGTTCTCAGGTGGCCTAAGAATCCATTCCCCACCGAGCCTCCCTTACTGTCTCTGCCACCCTGCCTCGAGCCCTCCCACAGAAGTCCTGAGCCAGGGAACGGGAAATGGAGTCGTCCTTCCCTCCTCACGGCTCAGGGCTCAGGGTGCAGCCGTGCCACCACTCACCTCTGCAGCTGGCTGGTGGCCAGGAAGCCTGGTCACTGCCATCGCCACAGTTGTCCATGTCCCAGGGGTCACACACCAGGCTTGGGGGGATGCACACGCTGTTCTCACACCGGAAGTAGGGACCGCAGGATCCTGGTCGGAGAGGGGAAGCATGAGGTGAGAATGCTGGGTCTCCCAGGACACAGAGGACCCCACGATGAGGAATGTGGGAGGGGGAGCAGGGAGGGCTGTTTCCAGGTGCGAGTGGATGAGCTTCTCGTGGGAGAGAAGTGCGTGATGACCAGTGTGATGGTGCTGCTGGTGGTGAGGATGGCGGCTGACCATTCTGGAGTTCCTGTTCCAAGCCGGCCACCCTTGCAGACGCTTCATTCACATCTCAGCTCATTAAGATCTCACCATAATCCTAGGGGATAAATGCTATTAACCCTACTTTTTAGAATGAGAAGATGCAGACACAGGAAGATGAAGTCCCTTGACCAAGACTTCACAGCTTGGAGTGAAGCCGCAGAGAGGGAATTCAGCCCCAGGCTACCTAGTTCTGGAACCCGAGTTTCCTAGGCCTCCTGGCACATAGTGGGTGTGATGTGTGTCTGCCTGTGTGTGGGTACGTGAACCCGAACGCTCTACAAACCCTCGCTCAAGGCTTTGCATTTGCCATCAGCTCTGCCCGCCACTCTCTTCCCCAAGTAGCTGCAGTGCAGAGTTGCTGTGAGAGGGATGGAATCTGTCCCTCCACGCCACAGGCACTGCTGCCCAGGGGCACTGTGGACACGGTACCTTCCCTCGCTGGAGTGGGTCTCTGTCACCATCCCCAGAGCCCTAGTTTGTCAAGCATCCGAAGGGCTGGCCCAGGACAGAGTGCCAGGGTGTGAGCGCGAGTGTGTGGGCGTGCAGAGTGGCACCGTGTGTGATGTGCGTCGTGTGTGCAGCGTGAGGAGTGTGTGCGGTGTGTGAGTACAAGTCATGCGATGTGCTAGGCTGGCTTGGGGATAGGTGTCCCACCGGCAGGGCGCGTGGTGCTCCAGTGTGAGGCGTGCACACGAGGGGGAGTGGGGGTCGGGCTGGTGGGGCGTCTGCTGTTGCGGACCCCCAATGGACGTGGTTCTTGGGGTCTGGAATGTCCCTTCCTGCGACACCCTAAGCCAGGAATCAGTTCCCGCTCCTCCCCACTCTCAGGCCCCAGCCCCCTCGTCCTGTCCTCCACTGTTCAAGAGCCCTTGGTGGCTCCCGGGAACAGGTGCCCCCAGCCTAGAGGACGCAGCCCCAACGCACCCAAACGGAAAGAGGTGACTTCTCCCACGAAGTCCACGCGGGGCCGGCGGCCTCTGGTGGCCAGGCGCAGGCCGAGGACCGGTCCGGAGGACGCCACCGGGTCGGGGATGGTCAGGCCGCAGAGCGGGTCCCCCAGGGGTCGGGGCGCCCCCGCAGGGCCCTCGTAGAACTGCAGGTAGGAGCCGGGGAAGCACCGGTCTGTGGGCTCCGCCGAAGAGGCGTTGGGTGCCGCGCTCGCCCGGGGCTCCGGGGCCCCGGGAGTCAGGCTGTACACCAGGAAGAAGCGGAACTGGAAGCGGATCCTGTCGCCCGGGGCCGCCGCTCGAACCCAGAGCGCGCAGTCGGTGTCGGGGGCCACGAAGTAGAACCTGCGCGACGCCGGGTGCGAGCGCAGCAGCAGCCCGGCCACCTGCCGCGTCTGCCCGCACAGGGCCACCAGGTCGGCTGCGGGGAAAGGACGAAGTCTGAGCCGGCGTCCTGCTCCCAAGCTTGGCTCTGCCCCTGCTCCTCTGCCCCCTGCTCGCTGTGTGACCCCACGCAAGTCACTCACCTTCTCTGAGCCTCCGTTTCCTCGCCGGTCGAGTGGGGATGATTAAGCAATGTCAAACTTTTGTGAGGATTAAGTAACTTAAATTCTCAGTCTCTTATTCCAAAGCCACAGGATGTGCTTCAGAATTTTCCAGATCTTAAAGATAATATGATGTATGTGTGTAAGGTATATTATGTTGCACCCGGAATGGCTTCTGCAACAGCCATTTGTGATCAGACACATTTTCTAGGGCAAAGAGTGACTCAGAGAGCAGCATCACATCTGCATGCTGCCAGTAAATTATAGAAAAGCAAAGTTGTATTTCACAAGCTTTGGTATTCTGGACTTGAAACTAAAAGATTGTGGACATGTGCTCGTGTCCTGACTGTGGCTGCTGGTGAGTGAGTGTTAGGGAGTGAGAGTGGAGGGTCAGGAGTGGGTGGGATGGACACCTGCCCATCCAACAGCCATGCCCTGTGTCTCCTTGCTAAAGGAGCTCTCATTCCCTTCAGCTGTCAAGAACTAGTATGCCAGCACCCCTCGAGATTGGGCTAAGCCAAACCTTGTAATTCTCACTCAGTTTGCCAGTTTTAGAGATTGGCCTGGGACGTGGCTCAGGCCAGTGAGATTTAAGAAGTTTGCTGGAGGTCCCTGGGGTTAGTTTCCTGATTTAAAAAAAGAGAGAGAGCGCCCTCCCTGGTGGCGCAATGGTTAAGCGCAGCAATATGAAGCTAGCCGCAGCCGCTTTTGAACAGGTTGATTCCCAGCCAGGGAGCTGGCCCTCATGGCTCAGCAGACCTCTCCTGACCCTCCCGCTGCTCCCCTCAGCAGTGTACTTCTCCATTCTGCCTGTTCTGCTCCCCACTCTGTCTCTGGTGAATCTTCTCACTGCCCCTCCACCTCCGGCCTGCACCCTAGTTCTGTATGCACAAATAAATAAATCTATTTTTTAAAAAAGAGAGGGAAAGGGAGAACTAGGTGCTGAGGAGGCTCTTCCTGTTTTGGCAAGCTGTTGCACAGATATGATGCCCAGTGCTTCAGCAGCCATTCTGCCCGGGTGAGGTCATGAGCATGATGGAGAAGCTCTGGCTTGAACTACAGAATGAGCTTCTCTCAATCACCTGCCTGTTCTTCTTTTTTTAGTTTATTTAATATTTATTTATGCATACAAGAACTGGGGTGCAGGCCAGAGGTGTGGGTGTGTATGTGAAAAGATTCACCAGAGACAGAGTGGTGAGTGGAACAGGTGAATCTGCTGAAATGCACTGCTGAGGGGAGCAGCAGGTAAGACAGAAAGGTCTGTTGTGCCATGGGGCTGACCCCCTAACTGGGGATCAAACTCAAACCTCAGTGACTGGTGACAGTGTGACAGTGCTGAGACTTAAACCGTGTGCCACCAGGGAGGCCCTTGCTCACTCTAAAGTGAAATAAATATCCTATGGCTTATGCCTCATTTAATTTGCTCATTATTACTAGCCCAAAATATCCTCTCTGGTGCAGGATTGTTGAGAGTTCAATTAGATAATACGTCAGTACTCAAACTCGCTGATTTTTGTGTTACAGAGAGAAGAGGAGGTGCCTTTTTTGGTGCATGGAAGGTGCCTGAGGACCTGCCTGAGTGTGAACCTTCAAGGATGAAATTCTCCACCAGGACTCAAACTGTGAGAGCACTTTCCTGCTTGACTGCCCCCTCCCACACCCCCGTCTGCCAGGTGAGGTCAGAGAGTGGGTCAACGAGTGCCTTCTGCGTGCCTGACACTAAGGGCCTTGCACAGTTTTCATATGCACAATAATAATAATTGTTAGGAGTGACCAGGTGCTGCAATGTAATCATGTGGTATCTTTGGCACCACAGAGGTGATGCCAAGGGGAGCAAAATGCCAAGACCAACAGAAAGCTTGTGGCAAAGAGGGAGGCCAGTAGGCCTTGGGGATCAGGGTACATTCAAATGGACTGTTCCAGCCTGACTCCTCACGGAATCTAAAGAGACCCTTGGCATAGGAGCGCGCGTATAAGCCCCGCGCCTGGTAGGCCTGGCCTAGAGCTACTGGCCAAGTCTCCACTGAGCCTATGGGTCGGTCTCAAGGACAAGGATAGTCCCAGTCAAGCCCGAGCCTGTACGCTAGGACCAGGGTAAGAGCTGTTCACTCACTCACACATCCACAGGTACACTCCAGAGAGAAGGGAAGAGAGGAGAAAAGAAGCCCGCAGGTCACAGAAAAGGTTCAGAGGACGGCTCTACTCAGCCGTCCCAGGTTTCGGCACCAATTTGTTTTTTGTCCCGATTTCTGTGACAGGCCGCAAAGAAGAAAGACGGGAGGCAGAAAGGCTGAGCAAGCAGAGTTTATTGCTCCCGGACAGCAGCTGAGACGGAGCCCCTAGGGTGGGGTCCGCAGCTACTGCCAGTGCTATAGGGGAAAAGGGTCTCATATAGATTCTAGGTTCACATTCGAAAGGGGTGACTCATGCCTGTGCCCCCTGATGCTAGGCCCAGTTCCTCCCACACGCATCTCCCAGATGAGAGGCCCAGTTAATTATCACACTTGGATGTGAGGCCCAGTTTGTAATCTCCCTTATCTAGTCCCACAGGTAGTTGTGTTATCTTTAGCACCTGGTCGCCCCCAACAATAATCTCTTGAGGAGCAAGGGCTTATTATTATCCCCCTTTTACTGTTGAAGAAACTGAGGCTGGAACTCCCCAGTGGTTCAGGGGTTAAAGACACAGCCCTATAAAGCTATCATTAGCTACTTCAACATGAGTTTGACCTCCAGCCAGGTTGCTGACCTACTGGCACAGCAGACGTCTCCTGTCTCGCCTGCTGCTCCCCTCAGCAGTGTGTTTCAGTTGATCTACCCCTTATACTTCCCTCTCTTGTGGGTCTGCTAGTCCAGAGGCCTATTGGGCCACCATTTTGCTACCTGTAGTTCTGCATTCCTATACAAGGTCAGAACTGACCTTCAGAAACCAGTCATAGGAGCCAAACCTCACAAGGTGCCTTTCAGGTCAATCGAGAGCAGAAAGCTTGATCACCCTGGGAAGGGGGTGCCTGGTGAGAGGTCTGAGCAGGAAGGTGGGGGGGGGTGTGCTGATGAGTGATGTGTAAACTTACTGGTCTGCCACGAGGTAAAACCAGCAATGCCCTGGGGGCTAAGGACCTGTACTTGATGCTCAGTGGGAAGCCTTGTAGATAAGATTGTAACCCTGACTGGGAACAAGGGCTAGATGGCCATTACAAGACTGAGTCATCCAGCTGATGAGCAGTGCCTGGAGGGCAGACTCACCTCTCTACAGATAACTGTCCTATTGTTCATTTCCTTTAACCTACTTCCCCTACAACTGATGCTGTATTTTGTCCATAAAAAGGTCGAGATCTTGCTCTTCAGCAGCTTCCTGCATTATGTACTCTGCTCTATGACTCATTTTTTTTTTAAATCATTGTGATGCTGCCCGATGCAACCTCTCACCCCTACACCTGTGGCCTACACCCCAGTTCTTGTATGCATAGATAAGAAATCTAAAAAAAAAAAAAAAAGAAATGAAACGGAGGCTTAGGAAGGTGAAGCAATGGTCTTGAATAGAAAAAGATGGTGTGAATGAGTCTGACTCCAAAGCTCATGATATTTTCCATTGCCAGGCTTAAAACTGTCCCTTCTACAGCCAGGCCCCTACTTCTGGGTCACTGGGTACCCCAGCCTTCCAGAGGGGCTTGAGATAGATTTAGGGGGTGCCTAGCAATATGAAGCAAAAGGTTTCCCAGACTCCCCCAACTCAAGGGACCCAGCCTGTGTAGGTGAGGACTGATTGGGGAAAGCCAGTCTCTGGGCGGGGGGCAGGTGCAGATTTTCTGCCTGCCCCATGGGCCCCTCTCTACTCACCTGTGTCGGGAGCAGACACAATCAGAATGGCAGTCCCCAGGAGGAGCAGCCTTGGGGGTAACAGCAGCAGACAGGCCTCCATCCAGGCCCTGTGCGCCCAGCAAGGGGGCAGACCTGGGAATCTTCACTGTGGCCTGGGGGAGACCAGGATGTGGGGACCTGTGAGTCAGCCTGGAGGCTAACAGGACACAGGGAAAGGAGAGGCAGGTCCCAGCTCTTTACACTGATCTGCATGCTTCAGTTCCTGATCCTCCTTCAGATCAGGATTGTGTCCAGGGTTGCCTGGGAGATTTGGGGCTTGGCCTGGAGCAGGGGGAGAAAGGGGGGATGATGTCTGCTCACCCCTTGGGGAAAAGGAACTGGGAAACTCAGATCCTGCTCAGCAGCAGGGTGAGTGGGAGCGCAGCCTCAGAGAGCTGCTACCTTCCTGGATAAGTGGGCATCCCAGGGCTTAAAGGAGGCCCCATATGCCAAGGGCCACTCTGGGAACTGCTGAGGCAGCACAAGGTCAGAGAGCTCCGACCAGCAAAGTGTTCCACCTCAGGGCTCCTGCTTCCAGCGCCCTCCCAGTGTTCATCCATACCCCTCCTTCCATGCTGGCTTCTTCAGACCCTTGTGGTCTCACTCAGCTCACAAGTCACTTCTCAAAGCACACTTCCCGACTACTTCCATCTGAATTAGCACTTCCCCTTCAGGTCACTCAATCACATCTCCCCAAATGATTTCAACACTCAATAGAACTATTTTTTTTTAAGATTTATTTATTTATGCTTATAGGCAAGAGATGCAGGGGCGATGAGAGGACTCACCAGAGACAGAGTGGGGAGCAGAGCAGGCTGATTGAAAAAGTACATTGCTGAGGGGAGCAGCGGGTGGCTCAGGAGAGGTCTGCTGCGCCATGTGGGTCACTCCCTGGCCAGGGATCCAACGCATGCTGCAGTGGCTGCAGAGAACTTTATAATGTGGTGCTTTAACCTGTTGTGCCACCAGGGAGAGCCGGGAACGACTATTTTTTAAAGATTTTTTTCATTTATGCAGACAAGAACTGTGGTGTAAGTCAGAGGTAGGGAGGTAAGAGGATTTAAAGAGACAGAATGGGGAACAGAGCAGGCAGGACTACTGAAATATATTGCTGAGGGGAGCAGCAGGTTAGACCAGACCGTTGTCCTCCGGAATTCAGCTGGTCCTCTTGGTTCTGGAGATAAAAAACCTGTCCTCTAGGGGGCAGTCAAGGTCAACTCCAGGGGAGGCACCTTGGGGAGCAGCTGGGCAGATGTACTCAGCAAGCCAAACAGTGATGTGCTTTTTTCTTTTTAAAGATTTATTTATTTATGCATACAAGAACTGGGGTATAGGTCAGAGGTGAGAGGATTCACCAGAGAGAGTGGGGAGCAGAACAGGCAGATCGATGAAGTATTGCTGAGGGGAACAGTGGGAAGGTCTAGAGAGTTCTGCTGTGCCATGTGGGTCACTTCCCTGGCTGGGAATCGAACTCATGCTGCATTGGCTTCAGACAGCTTCACAATGCTGCACTTTAACCCACTGTGCCACTGGGAAGGCCCTGTGATATGCTTTCACAAGGAAGGCACTTAATGGAATGGGAGGCCAAGCAAGAGATAGGAGGGGTGTATTCAAATCTGTCTCCTTGTCCTGTAATGGGGCTCAAGTTTTTAAAGGCAGATAGAAGGCAGGGAAGAAATCATGGTAGGTCAAGGAGAGAGAGAAGTAGAAAGTTCATGGTAGGCAAGCACGCATGCTGTTCATGTTCTTTTTCAGGGGTGGGGGGCAGCTAGCATTTATTGGGAGGTTTGGAAGGTTCAGACATCACAGGGTCACTCTAACTCAGAGTCTCTGGAGGTTGTGCTTATGCCCAGAAGCCCACTATCCAATAGCTTGATTCCTATTCCAGCTGGGCTCCTCTGGCCCAGCCTGCTGCCTCTATAAGATAAGCGTGAGGGGTTGCAAAAGCAAAAGGGAAATGGGAGTCAAGAGGCAAATCTTTTGCAAAACAAGTTTGACCACCTTTTCCTGAAACAAGCCCCAACCAGGGTTTCACTGCATTGCATTGTAGAAACAGTTGCAGGGAGGCTGCAGGACACCCAGAGGCCTAGGGTGGTGGCAGCTCATCTCAAGGTCTCTTCTACAAATCAAGGTGACTAGGGAAGGACAGTTGTCCTGTCCAATGAATGTGCCTTATTCTGTACAGTGGGACCATGCCTAAGGGGCTTTCCTCCCCACCCCACTTTTGTCTTGCCTAAGGGCTCTTTACATTTCACCTGTCACATTCTTTTATGCAATTTAGAGTTTGATAAACTACTAGTACATATTCACTGACTACAATTCCTGGCCCAGAGCTTAGACTACAAGCCCTGAGGCAGGTATAGTCTTCTCCTTTCCTGGAGGTGGAAGTCAAAGTCCGGAATATTTGCTTAAAGGAGCCCAGGAGGGCCCTCCCTGGTGGTACAATGGGTTAAAGCACAGCACTGCAAAGCTGGCCACAGCCTCAACACAAGTTTGCTCCCAGGCCAGGGAGCTGACTCCCCTCAGCAGTGTACTTAGTCAATCTTTTGCTCCCCACTCTGTCTCTGGGGAATCCTCTCATCACCCCCTGCACCTCTGACCTGTACCCCAGTTCTGTATGCATAAATAAATAAATCTTTAACCAAAAAAAAAAAAAGAAGAAAAGAGCTCAGGAATGGGGAGACACAGCAGGAATGGGGAGACACAGCTAGGGCTGCCCCTTGGGGTCCAGGAGCTAAGAGTCTGAGGTGCTCTGGATCTCATTCCTTTTCTATTATGTCATCTCACTTTGACCTTAGTCCTGCAGTGCCTGGGCCTGCACTGGGGGCTGGGGGTAGCAGTACAGGGCATAGGTCTGTCCCTAAGCCGCGCAGAGCCTGGAAGACAAGCAAAACAAAAGTCCAAATCAGCGACCTAAGAGCCAGAGCTGTGGGAACACCACTTGGACAGCCTCTTCTGGAGCAGCCACTAAGACAGTAACCCAATGAACAGGAATTAGCAAAATGAATAAAAATAATTGTTAATAACATTTATTATTCAGGTCTCCCTCATCAAGGGAAAAAAATCTTAGAACTAAATCATGAATTATTTGTAAAAAATATTGCGTAGAAGAACAGGCAGTGAGAAGATTCTACCTCAGCGGTGATGGTGCTGAAACTTAACCCCTAGGTCACCAAGGAGGCCCGACATTAATTTTTTTTCTTTTTAAAGATTTATTTATTTATTTATGCATACAGAACAGGGGTACAGGTCATAGTGCAGGGGTGGTGAGAGGATTCACCAGAGACAAAGCAGAACAGGCAGATTGACAGAAATACAGTGCTGAGGGGAGCAGCAGGCAAGACAGGCAAGACCCCAGGTCTGGGTCCTTGTAGGCTTTGACTAAACTCTTTAATGAACTTTTAAATATCAGATCCACTTCAGAGGGGGGTTATTTCAGTTGATTCTCATACACTAATCTCCAAAAGCACACCTCCAAAACCATCACACAGGGTCATGGGATTTAATATACAACTTCGGGGAGGACACAAACATTCCGTATATAATCTTTGTACTGCAGTCCCATAAATTATGAAAAAATAGATTTTATTAAAAGTGCAAAGGAATGGCAAAACAGTGGCATGATCTGATTTATGTTTTTACTTAATTCTTTTCTTTTTATTGATTTAGGAGAGGTCCCAAGATACAGGTTAGAAAAACTCCAGCTGTCACACTGTGGTTCTTAGAAGGGAAGAGATACAGATTTGCTCTTACTCCTTTCCTGGCACAAAGCTTCTAATGCTCTTGGACTTTCCTAAGTGATAAGTGATAAGGTGTCTTTTGCTGTTTGTAACAAGTCCTTTTCAAGCACACTTGTTTATTAAGGAACTGAATTTGGAAAGCCCTTGAGAGGTAAACTGGGGGTGAGTTGTAGTTTCTAGGAGAATAAACCATGACTAGAGAGCTGGATCTTTCAGCTCTCCTCTACTCTAAGAAGGGGACATTGAAGGGCTTTATTTAGATTGAGTCCAATAACCAAAGGCTATTTATTTATTTTTAAAGATTTATTTATGCATACAGAACTGGGGTAGAGATCAGAGGTGTGGGGGGGTGAGCAGATTCATCAGAAACAGAGTGAGGAACAGGACAGATCTACTGAAACATACTGCTGAGGGGAGCAGCCTGTGAGACAGGAGAGGTCTGCTGTGCCCTGTGGGTCAGCTCCCTGGCTGTGGATCAAACTCATGCAGCAGTGGCTTCGGATATCTTCACAGTGCTGGCTTAAGGGAGGCCCTGCCAAAACATAAACCTTAAAAAGAAAGAAAGAAACTGGCCCCAAATGGAGGCACTTGTGCTAAACCCAATTCACCAAAACCCGATTTAATGTCTAATTTAATTGCAGTTTCAGCCCTTCCCAGGGAAGTAATTCTGACCATTCTGGGCTAACAAAAGCCAGTGGTCTGCCTACTGGTCACTCCCTTGCCTCAAGGGAAGGTGGAATTGTGCTTAGAACAATCTTTTTCTTTTGCTAAATAATCCCACCCTCTTCTTGCCCAAGAGAAACTTTCCAGTTTGTACTAGCAGTTGGGGATACTGTTGAGCCCTTTTATCAAAGCCAATGAAATCTCTAAATTTACTGGGTTGAATTTTGTTTTTTTACAGTAGTTGCATTCTGTGTATATTTTGTAGTCACAGCCCACAGAATTGTGGGAGGCCTAGATGGGGATATAAGAAAAAGATATTAAAGCCACCTCTAAGATTTGTAGGAGAATGAAGCTGTTACCTGTAGAGAGGGAAAGATTACAGAAGAATACTTGGGGAGGGGAGCTGGAAACAGAAGCAGAAAATGTTTGAGGGCTGTAATGTCAAAGAAGGGGCAAGATATAAAGACTTAGGATTTCAGGAGCAAGCTGAGGTCTGGAGTGATGAATTTGGGCATCATCACACAACTGTAATGTATTTAAAGCTACGGGATATCAGATCACCCAGGGAGTAGATGTAGTTAGAGAAGCTCAAGGCTGAACCTAGGTCACCCAAGTTTACAGGTTAGAGAGATGAGACAGAATCAGCAAAGGGCACCAA